ATCCTAAGATCTCTTTCTAAGAAGTTTGATTGAAGGTCACTGCAATTTAAGAAGTCCAAAACCTTAAAAGCATCAAAGTTGATGAACTCATTGGTTCTTTACAAACTTTTGAGATAACCTTGAATGATAGATCTGAAGACAAGAGCAAAAGCATAACTTGTGTGTCAAATACTGAAGATGATAAAGATCAAGGTGTAGAAAATCTATCAGATGCTATAACATTTATTGGAAGAAAGTTAAACAAATCCTCGAGAAGGCTAGACAAACAACAAAGGAAAAATGTCTAAGACAAAGGGCCAGACATCAGTTCCCAGAATAAGAGAAAATATAAAGACAAATCTAACCAAGGGAAAAGAGTTCAATGTCATGAATGTGAAGGGTTTAGCCACATTAAAGTTGAATGTCCTACCTTTGTAAAGAAACAGAAAAGGGATTGCCAATCACTTAGTCTGATTCTGATGATGAGAGTGAAGGTTAAACAAGTAACAAAGTAATGGCTTTCACTGGAAAATATGACTCTTGTAGTGAGTCTAGTGATGAAGATGTATTAGCAGAAGAGCTTGCTGAAACTTATAGAGAATTTCTCACTGAGTGGAAGGAATCTTGCATGAGATAAGAGAAATAAAAGAATACCATAAATGTTTTACTTATGGAAAAGGAGAAACTTGGCTCAACCATTGCAGATCTGGAAGAACAGGTCATAGTGTTAAAGTCTAAACTTGACAATATGACAAAATCTATAAATATGTTGAACCATGGTTCTGATATGTTGGATGAAATTTTGGAGATTGGGGAGAAGAAGGCTATAGGGTTTGACTACAGTTCCATGAACATAAAGGTTAAAGTTACCTTTAAGAAGTTTGTTGCTCCTCAAACGAAAGTTAATTTTCTGATGAAGGACCACAAGTCCTAGCATTTGGCTCAACATGTGTACCCTCATAACAAAGGAAACAAGAAATCATCTTGGAGGTGTCACCACTGTGGAAGATATGGCCATATAAGACCATTTTTCTATACATATTGTATGGGTTACTTCAGTATTATAGTTAGCCAAAGTTCAATAGAAGGAAAGGGAAGACAACTCAAGATAAGAAAGTATGGAAACCCAAGGAAAATTTCACATGCCTCATTACTCATGCCTCTTTAGAATTTCATCAATAAAATATTGGTACTTTGATAGTGGATGCTTAATTCACATGACTGGTGAAAAGAGTTATCTTGAAGAGTTGAAACCATACTCTAACAATTATTTCACCTAAGATGATGGATCTAGAGGAAGAATCAAGTGCATGGGCAGAGTAGTTAGTCCAGATTTTCCTTGTCTTGAGGATGTGTTGTTAGTAGAATGGTTAACTACAAAATTGACCAACATAAGGAAAGTATGTGATCAAGGTCTGAATTTTAGCTACAACAAGACTGAATGTATTTTCTCTAGCAAAGATCAAGAGGTTCTAATAAAGCTTTCAAGATCCAAAGATAAGTGTTATATAGGATATCAAACCTCAACCAAAATTAAGAGCATGGAGGAGATCATATTTGAAAATGATGTCAAAGAAATGCCAAAACTCATGATTGAAGAAGAAAATTTTTGTGGAATGTGCAAATAATCAAGATATCCCACAAGATGCTCCTGCATCCTACCTCCACTAAAAGTATGAAGTTACCTTTTATGTCTCTATTGAATTCCACACAAGGGAAATGCTTGTGTGATAACAATAACATCATGTATATGAAGAATGACAAAGGGAATTTCAGTTATAACCTTGGGATTGGTAAAATGATTCATAAGATGTTGGAACGTTGTGTCCAACAAATGATATGTCTTGTTGAAAAATCCACTTATTGTCTTGGTTTGCAAGTAAAACCAACAAAAGAAAATATTTGTGTAGCTCAAGTGAAGCATGGGTTTGAAAAGCTAATAGGCACTATTGACATTTGCATGTCTATCAAGTCATTACAATCAATTATAAGGAATCTCTCTCTCTCTCTCTCTCTCTCTCTCTCTCTCTCTCTCTCTCTCTCTCTCTCTCTCTCTCGTGATCAATGTTACACGGGAAATAAGGCTTTCTCCCTCTCTCTCACTACGACCGCCTCAAAGCCGTCAAAGACTTTGAGGAAACCAAAGCCGGAGTAAAAGGCCTCATCGACTCCTGTATCAAAACAATCCCTTCTTTCTTCATTCACCCACCCGAAATCTTATCCGACCTCGGTCCAGGATCCGGACACGAACCGAAAATTCCAAAAATCGACCTCTTTGCTACACACCACTCCCGCGTCGCCGTCGTGGATCAGATTCGTTCCGCTGCGAATTCCGTTGGATTCTTTCAGGTGATCAAACACGGCGTATCGCTGGAACTACTACGAAGTGTTATCAGTGCTATAAAGGCGTTTCATGAACAACCTGCGGAGGTTAAGGCGCAGGTGTACAGTAGGCAGGTAGAGACGAGCGTATCTTATATATCCAATGTCGATCTCTTCACTTCTAAAGCTGCTAGCTGGCGCGATACACTTCAGGTTCCCGCGAAACTAAAATCTTCTACATGGTTAATGACGTTTAATGAAAAATGCTATTCTTACACCAAAAAGTTACACTACACCCAATTTACTGTTCACAAATACTTATGTATATATTTATAATTTAGTCTCAGAACATGGTTAATAGTATGTATTTTATTGGTTAATGAAGTAGTGAAAGTGGTTAATAAATTATAGGTAAAATAATTAGTTAATGATGTAGATTTTTGTGGTTAATGCAATTGTGAAGTTGGTTAATGTCGCAATCTTATATTTGTGTTATAAAACAAATTTTAAAAATAAATATTTTAAGAAAATATATTATTTTAATAAAAAAACACTATTTACCGTATAAATACGATACGGTGTAGGTATGTGGGTGTAAGAATGGGTGTCAAGATAGCAAACCTGATATATATATATATATATATATATATATATATATATATATATATATATATATATATATATATATATATATATATATATATATATATATATATATATATATATATATATATATATATATATATATATATATATATATATATATATATATATATATATATATATATATATATATATATATATATATATATATATATATATATATATATATATATATATATATATATATATATATATATATATATATATATATATATATATATATATATATATATATATATATATATATATATATATATATATATATATATATATATATATATATATATATATATATATATATATATATATATATATATATATATATATATATATAGTGGCGGAGCCAGAAAGTTTTTGAAGCCCGAGCAAAAATTTAAAGACAATAAATTCATATTGTATATATAAATAGTTATTAATCAAAATAAAAGATTTTTAATTTAATTGATTTCGGCAGAATTTTAAAACTAACGTAGTCATATCCAATTTGAGGCTGATACTAACATGGAATATAATTTCATGTGATTCATAATAATTCTTGAAATTAGTAACAAGTTAACAACATAATTTTATTTACTAACTACTCTAACTACAAACTAAATTTAAAATACAAATTCCTAATTAACATCACTTGAACCATATAATTTAGAGTGAACATAAATTGAAGAATTGGACCTAATATATTTTTTATATTATTTGAGGATGAAATTTATTTTTTTCTTCTTCTTTTTTACAACACTATACATATTTTTTTTAAATAATTTTAGTAGCTGCTACTTTTATGTTAAATTTTATTTTTTTCAAGTATTTATTTTTTGTTTTTGATTAATTTAGTCATAAATAGCAACTTTATTTTAATTTTGCACTTTTTGTAATGTAGTTGAATCTAAATATTATCATATAAAAAAATTAATATAATGTATGCTTAATTGCATAAAAAAAGAAAAAAAATATTTTATTTGTGAAAAATGTTTAAATTACGGTGGTTAAAACTGCCATTATCAACGAAAAAAACAATTTTTTATTTAATATATATTATGACATGAAAATTTTTATTCAAAAGTACTATTTGTTTGCATTTTTGTTAATTATGGCGGTTTTAACCGCTAGAACAACACTTATTAACCGCCACAATTTTCATATTCTTTTATAATAAAAGGAAAAATTTTGGGGCCGAGCCCGGGCACATGCCCAGCCTGGCCGGGCCTTAAAACCGCTCATGTAATATATATATATATATATATATATATATATATATATATATATATATATATATATATATATATATATATATATATATATATATATATATATATATATATATATATATATATATATATATATATATATATATATATATATATATATATATATATATATATATATATATATATATATATATATAAAAATCAATTTTTATGTTTGTGGCGAAATTAATTTTAATCGATTTTGCTTAGAAAACATATACATTACATTTATGCTTTTAGAATCACTTCCCAACTTGATTATCTGAATGTTTGGTTTTGCCGTGCTGAAAATTGATTTTGAGTGAATTGATTATGGTTAAAAGACAAATAAATAGTATAAAATGATTTATGTTTAGATAAATTAATGCAAAAATGAGTTTGGATAAATTTAAGTAGAACTAATTTTAGAAAGTATAATCAATTTTATTCGAGAGAACCAAACATGTCAAAATAAATTATAGATGTTCAAAACGTGAAACCTAATATGCATAAAGTGAAACCAGGTGTACGCTTATCAAGCAATTTGTCTGTAATTTAAAATCCTCAATTGGATCAGTCTTAGGGACTAAGTTATATGATGTCTACAATTTTCAGAATTAAAATGCTATTTGATCATTATCTTAATGGAATTTCACAGATTAGGACGGGACCTGTCGTTGCGGAAGAGAATGAGATTCCAGAGGTGTGTAGGAAGAAGGTATGGAGTGGGATAAAGAAGTAGTGCGTGTATGAGATATTTTACTAGGTTTGTTGAGTGAAGGGTTGGGATTAGGTGAAGGAGTGCTCAAGGAAATGAGTTTGTCACAAGGGAGAATGATGGTTAGCAACTATTACCCATTTTGTCCTCAACTTAATCTTACCGTTGGACTCAATTCCCATGCGGATCCAGGGGCATTGACGATATTGGTTCAGGATCATATCGGCGGCTTACAGGTTAGGACCCAACAAGGTTGGGTTCATGTCAAGCCTTTTGATGGAGCTTTGGTTATCAACATTGGAGATTTACTTCAGGTCAATTATATTCCTAATCACTATCCTTTCTTTTTAAATATTTAATTTCTCACGTCCATTATTTTGTGTGTCAGATAATTTCTAATGAAGAGTATAAGAGTGTTGATCATAGGGTATTAGCCAATTCTTCTAATGAGTCGCGAGTCTCAATTGTTGTTTTCCTAGTGCCGGGTAACAAGGAAAAGCTCTTTGGACCTTTACCGGAGCTAACATCAGCAGAAAAACCAAATCTTTATAGAGAGTTCACATTCAACGAATTTTTGCCAAGGTTCTACAAGAAAGAGCTAGATGGTAAAGCATTGACAAATTTCTTCAGACAATGATGTATTTATAGCACTGACTGTTGCCGATATATCGATGGAAATTTAACTTTATAAAATGATCATCACATTGCTATTACTTATTGTGCAATTACGTTGTTGAATAAAGGTGTTGTAATGTATAGTAGAAGTACAATTGTGTCATGTTTCGAATCGTGTTTGGTTCGAAACATGTGGTTGGTTTGGGGCGTCGGTGCCGTAGTGGTCCGGCTTGTTAGCAGGCTATTTTATGGCATACATTGATGTTGTAGGAGGGTGGTTTGATTCTCTGGCTTGATTATTTGCTGGGTTATTTGGTCTTGTTTGGCGTGTTAATCCGACGTCTTTTTTTCTTGTAATTTGGTCTTCTTGTTTTGCTGTTTTTGAATTTGTTATCTTTTTTCGTTGGATGTTGTCTTTGTAGCGGTTGGGCACCCCTTGTGCTCCCTTTTAATTTCACTTTGCTTATAAAAAATAAAAAAGAAGCATAACTGTTCTTCCATAATTTTACAATATTTTTGTCACGTTCAGAAAAAGCTTGTTCCAGACTGGCTCAATGGCTAGACATGACCCAATCCACTTCTGCACCCAGAACAGTCCAATAGTCTAAGTCCTTCCAGTTTAGGGCAAAGGAAAGCACTTTTTCTAACCCTCAGCCGAGGAGGGCTGGCCAGCTGACCCCCAAGATCAACTATCCTTCGTCACATCTCTGCTCGTCACGCACGGTTCAACCATCCAGAAACGACCACTACACGCTTGCCCGCAACCACGCCCTTACTCGAAGCAACAGTTAGTTCCGAGCATGTCTGCCCGTTACAATGACTAGTTTCTGCCAGTTACCTATTTTTGCGGAGCGAATATCTAGACCCGAAAATAGAGACCAATGGTCAAGCACTGAGGGCATTATAAATACCCTCTCCTTTGAGAGGGCCAGGTATTCCAAAATCACCCAAAGACATTTTTACTTCGTACTTGCCTTCTCCTCTCCCGATTCTTACTTTGGCATCGGAGTGTCTTGCAGATACAACTCCTTCCTCCTTGGATTCTAGCATCGAAGATAAAGTCTCTAGCCTATTCCAGATTCTGATCAAGCGAAAAGATCAAAGTTATTTCCAAATTATTCACATTTATCCTTCTGTATCTATTTCAAATGAAAGACATGTCTATGTGTAGCATCTTTAGTGAAGTCAGGTTTGACATTCCGTAGCAGTAATCTGTTATTAACTTTTAATGTTAAATTGTTATTGAAATTTTGTTTAGTGTTTCTTCTATAATAGTTGCTTTATAAAATGGTAAGTATTTAAAATGATTCATTCATGACTAGTGAGTATTTCCAATTTCCCCAAATACTTAGGGAAAGGTTTGGTTCTTCCTCCAAAATACTCACGAGACCTTTATTAGCATCAAGTTATAAGTACGTTTGAAAGGGTTTAAACGTGAAAATAAACATTGGTTGTTATATAATGTTGTTTCATAAGCAGCAGAAATTGGTACCATGGTTTGATAAAATGTCATAGGCAAAACTACTGTCTAGGTCCTTTAAGTTTTTTTAAAATATCAAGTTAGTCCCTTAAATTTTTTTTGTAACACTTTGGTCCTTTTTTAAAATTCTTCGTTACAATAAATTACAAACTCATATATCATTTGAACTGGTTTTTCACGCTGATCACAGATATGTAATTAGTTTTGCGTTTGGTTGTGTATTTTGGTCTGATTGTTGATTTTTCATTATGTATTTCGTCCATTTTTACCTGATTCTCATTAACCGTGACTTATTTGATAAATTTGATTGCATATTCGTGATAAAAACCAGTTCAAATTGTATATGAGTTTGCAAATTATTGTAACGGAGATTTTTAAAAAGGGACCAAAGCGTTAGAAAAAAACTTAAGAGATTAATTTGATATTTTAAAATAACTTAAAGGATTAAAACAATAGTTTTGCCAAAGTCATATTATAATATTGTGAATTAAAATAAAACCATTTTCTACATAGTCTCGGCCTCTCGATTGAGTTTTTTTTTTCTTTTTATTATTATTATTATTATTATTATTATTATTATTATTATTATTATTATTATTATTATTATTATTATTATTATTATTATTATTATAAACTGGACATTAGTCCAAAGAAAAATAAATTAAAAAGAGAAGTAGATACAAAAATGAGGGGGACATAAAGTCAAAACTTTAAACCTATTTGATCCTAAAGTTAGACAATTCTAATCGGTTTTTGATAAAATTCGATTCAATATCTGGATGCACATCATTCCACCGAATAAAATTAGATACATCTAATCCTATGTTAGCCAGTTTATCCGCACAATGGTTTCCTTCCATATATAAGTGAGTAGCCAAGTTTCCTTCCATATATAAGTGAGTAGCCAAAAAAATTAAAATTTTCTAAAATATTCGTACAGTTGCCCCATCTATTCCTGATTTTCCAAAGCACAACAAATGGTTTACTGAACGCCATCATGACTAATTTAGAATCCGACTCTAACCAAAGATTTGACCAACCATGAGTGAATGCATGCTCAATCGCCAAAATTACACTCATAAGCTCCGTAAAAAGAGCATTCACAATGCCAAAATTACACGCAAAACTCCCAACATGATTGCCCAAATGGTTCCTGAAAATCCCTCCACAACCTGTCTTAACCATAGCGTCCCTGAAAGCTCCATCCACATCAACCTTAATCCACCCACAAGATGGAGGACTCCAAAACACTTTTGTACAAATCTTAGGTTTTGGTTGGTCAATGGAAATAGAGAACTTGTTAAGAACTTGAAAATCAACCATATCCAAAGAAGAGGATCCATGAAAGAATTACCGGCTAGCTGAGTATATGCATAAATGTGTAAAAGCAGATGGTTCTCCAAGGAATAGTTTTATTCTGAAATCTCGTTTGGTTCCGAGCACACCAAATACCATTAACCGTAGCTATAATTGAGGCACGATAAACCACATTGCATTAAGCAGGAACATGCCTGCTCATTGCCAACAGACAATCACTAAGATCACCAATTTTCGTGTTCACATGCAACATGTTACTAATCCAATTTCAGGTTTGTCTAGAATAAGAGCAGTAAAAAAACAGATATTAGATAGATTCCTCACATTGACAATAAATATTGCAAACCGAAGGGCCGACCATCCTGTATTTCTGAAGCACGTCATCTGTTGGCATTCCATGCTTCGTTAATCTCAGAAAAAGAATAGAATGAGAAGGTGGAATGATCGGATGCCAAACATAATTGCCCCAAACACAACTTGGACCATGTTTAAAACAATGATTATAAGTATCCTTTAGACAAAGATCTCCACTGTCAGCTGTTGAACTCCAAACTTGCTTTCATTTGATCTTTATTTATTGGCATTTCTCAACTCTTTTGTGTTGTTTTGTTGGATTTACTCCATGATATCATGTTATTATTCAATATTGTGAAAATACATTTGGTTGCTTTGATTTGTGTGTTATTGTGCAGGAATTAGGCATAAAACCATCCAAGTATAAAACAGAAAAATTTGGACAAGGAAACCAAAGAAAGAGAAGAATTTCACCATGTTCGCTGTGCGAACTACCAGCGAGTATTCGTTGGGCGAACACATGGCGAAGCCCCAGCGAACTATCCCAGGAAGATGGAAGTAAGAAAAGGACATGAAGTTCGCTGGGAGAACTTACAGTGAATGTTCGCTGTGGCGAAGTATCAACAAAGAGCCAGTGAACCATCCCAGACCCAAGTCAGTAGGTAAAGGACCCTAAGTTCGCTGTGCGAGCTTGGGGCGAGATAGTTTGCAATGCAAAGAATTGCTCGCACAACGAACTTCAGATATTTCTCAGGGGCGGTTTAACTGTTCAGAGGCACATCAGGTGCCTAAAACGGAGTTTGTTGGGAAAAGAAACTGTTCGCAGTGCGAACGTGGCAGATTCTAAAAGTATATATAAGTACTTTTCACTATTTTTGGGGATCATAATCCATTTTTCCACACAAGAATTTTATTTCTCAGATTTTCTTTACCAAAAGGTGATATTTTGCAAATAGAAGTTGGATTCGCATTCGAGTTCGATTCTTTGATGTAGATGCTCATTCATCTTCTTCCAAGACTTGTAAAGCAAGCTACCATGGTTATGGATAGCTAATTTCCTTTGTATCAAAGGTAAAGGTAGTCTACCATTAGTTTGCATGTATTTCTTTTGTTTGACCTTGTATGTGAACAAGTGATGATTAATATATGATGAATATTTTTGTTCTTAATGATCCATTCTTGTTTTGTAAAACTCTAGACATAGATTTTGTAAAACTTGACCTAAAATATTCGTCTATTCGTTTATAGATTGGAGAAATCGGTCTATGGTCGATAGTTGTTTTGTGTTGAAAGTAAAGCTTGCTATATTGGTTGTTATATGGAGAAATCGTGTAGCGATGAATACAGTATTTTTCACGACGCCGCTCTAGACATAGACGGTGTTGAGAGAATGCGTGACGATATTAATTGGACCCGACTTCACATGCATGATTGAAAGAATACGTATAAATTAGGGTAGACGGAAATTACTTTTGATATACTTTGTTAACAAAAATCTTTAGAATTTATCCGCTTTGTTACTAAACAAAACGTGACAATTTTATGAACAAAACTTTGAAATGATAAACTGTTGAAATGCAAGTATCAAAATATTTGCAAACCCTGTGGAAACGATAACAAAAACCCCCTTTAACTACGATTCAAACATCAGCCCTCAACCAAACAAGTTTGTCCTCATTCAAACTATTAACATGTATGTTGGAAACCAGCTTAAGAAGCTTAGGACACAAGCTGATCAACGCAGTAGGCAAAACAAAAGAATTACTTTGCAGAATTGTACTTAAACCCGCCTTCAGCAAAAATTTCTTATCATCAGAAATCTGAATTAAAGAAGCAATAGACAGCCTACAACAATTATCACACCACAAATTAATTTGGTCTCTCTTGCCGATTGACCACATAGAATGTGCCATATATAAGTTCAACAAAGG